TAGCAAGGTATCGAAAGTAAGCGATACGAGAGGAGCTGCTAGGGGAAGGAGTATCTGCAAGGAGACGAAGGGCCGCTTCCTGATTATCTATGCAAACCGTAATATTTGTGGCGTATGGAGCCATCGGAAACTGAATACACTGTGAATTAAAAAAAAAAAAAAAAAAAGAGCCATCGGATTGTGGAGGGCGGCACTTAGGCCTTCAGTGGCCCCGGCTATTTCTGCATCGTACACTTCGGCAGATTCTTCGAGAGGAAGGGTCCGGTTCCCTTAGTGTAATTGCCTCCTGTGCCACCCAGTCTTTCCAAATTTTCAATCTCTATCGCTCCTTCTCATCATCGACATTTATTGACAATTCTTCGACACTTGAAGGGCCTGCTAGAGCCTTTGGATGATAATATTTATGCAGATCAAATTGATTTGCAATCGGCTCAATTGCCCTGACCCACTGAGCACAATTTTCTTCACCTTTAGGCTTCTGCAAGCCTTTCACGGGAACGTTATTAGAATTTTTATACTAATATTAATTCTTGATGAGATGAAGGCGTGATTAATTAAAACCATCAATTTAAGAATAGCTTCCCCTAATACAATTAGTAATGTAAAAAGTCGTGTAAGGATATACAAGAGAGTCATGAAGAGAAGGACAAGATCACAGCAACTAATGCGAGGATATTGGCAAGAATTGGTTTCGTTGCAGTCCGGTTGGCAAATGCTTCTACTATTTTATACATAAGGTCAGTGGTGGTGTTCTCTCGTATGGTTTGAGTAGCCTGGGCACCCACTCCACTTGGCAAGCAGACACCTAAGACAACATTACGCGCAGAGAAAAATTGAAAGATGATGGGGGCATGTCTGGATAGCTCAGGGTTTTTAGACGTTCCCCTGGGTGGGTATTCACGGATGACGGTTGACTTGGGGTGAAGAAAAAGTCCCCATAACTTTGCAGTGGTACATACAAATGAAATCCGAGGCATGAGTGCTCCTCTTGAAAATTGAGTCATCTTTTCTGTACTTTTCTTTGCAATTGTATCATAGCTAGATAGCTGCATACGCAATTAAAATCTGATGCAAAAAAAATAAAAAATAAAAAAACTCCAACATACTTCCTTATCTAACCTAAATGGGAAGATTGTTAGAGATCTTAAAGCCAATGTATGCCGTCAGGAATCTAATGGCTTATTACTATTCATACCAATGAGTGATGATATGGGTTAATCAAATCTCATGGCGCTAGTGCATGTTATTCTAGTATGTACTATTTGCCTACTGCACTCATGTTGCTGCCTTCATTAAAACAATACTAACGAGTGGACCAAAGTCTACTGGAACGAAAAGATGAGGCGATGACAAAAAGGAGTGGGTAAGCGCATAGTAGATTTTAATGAAAAGCGGCCATCTTCTCATCAGGTGTAGGCAGACCCAGAATGTTGGAAAGCAGCGATTATAATCACCTACCGAAACACATACTCTAACATCCACCAAAACCTGAGCAGAGCTCAAAGCAGTATTCCAGTACAGACGAGAAGTGAGCATATTGGCCTCAAACCTCATCTGTGTAGAAGAAAGGTCCGTAGAGTGGCAAATCCAAAGTGCCAGTGTGGATATCCGGCACAAAATGTGAAACATGTGGTCATGGCTTGTCCTCAATGGGCTAAGGGAAGAGGAGAGGTGCTACAAGAGGCAAAAGATAGGTCTTTTGAAGCTATGATGAACATTCCGGATGACATGAAGAGAATTATAGAATAGATAATTACTAAAAGCTGGTTTGAATAGTTCCGGCTCGCAGAAGGAGTCGAGATAGCAGTAAATCAAAGGATAAAGCGATGGCGCAAAGGATAGGACGGTGTGAAGGCACTTCCTGCAGGAAACCTCAGATACTCCAATAGACATGATACAGACAGCTTTTGGGGGCTTTACCGAGTTAGTTTCTCCCTTGTAAATATAACAGCTACATACACCTAAACGGCCTAAACGAAATCAAATAAAAGACTACAAATTAATTAATTCATAAACAATAATTAAATAGTTGGAAAAGAATTACTTTGCAGTGTTCCGAAGCTTCAGAATGATAAAAAGTAAACCTACAAGTGGTAATACAATTTTAGTGGACACATATGTTTTATCGATATTCAAGGGGTGATCGTATTTTTCGATGCGGTTACCCATAATTATTCAAAACAGGAGCCATATTCGTTTTCAAAGGTGGATATGGTCAGAAATTCTACTGCTGATTAATGACTGTAACATTTTGGTGAGCTACTTTGCTAACTATAAAGTTCGACATTTACGTTACACTCTAGAGACCCTGGTCTTTACCTGTGTTAATAAAACGGCATGTATTCCGTGGATTGGTGCCTGATACTTCTAAATATTTTTGTGATGTTACTCACTTACTACTCCAAACATAGGTACGTCATTCAAAAAAAGAAATATTTAACCGAAATCATTGAACCTTTTGTTTCAAATTTCTCTCAATAATAGACACAATCCAAGATCGTCAAGTTTTACATCATTGGATATCATATTTATTTATTTGTGCATGTATACGTCTGTTTCCACAATCTACACGATTTAATCCCATATAGCAACCAACATTCGTTGATGAGGAAGAATTGATAATTTAAACTGATTTATTATCTACGAATCGTTATTAGCCCAATAGTTAAAAGAAGTACATTTATTTGTGTTGCGAAACCAACCTAGACACTCCCCGTGCTTGTGGTTTCAGTATGTGTCCATCAAGATTGTCGGTTGTCGCTTATCCGCTACTAGTTACACTATCCTCTTTTGTTACGTCTGATATTCGAGACTGCGACGAGAATACGCGTAACTGGTATCAGATCTGTATTTTGTTCCGTTGTATCCCGTAATGAGGCATTACACTCTAGCCCATGTCATTGCCAGACATTAATGTATATAGACAGTCTCATATCCTTTAGTAAAGATCAAGCCTTTACTGTAAACATAATCCACATCTACGGATACCCTTTGAAGTTTATACTTCGTTATTTCTCCGTGATCACTCGAAGAGCTCTGCATATTCTTAGTTTATTTTCAACAATTTGACCACTAACCGGCTCATAAAAGTACCGCGTGTTGACAATGTTCCATTCTCAACTTTTAACCTTCTGCACTCAGTGTTTCGGTATCTACTCTTGGTGTTAGCGGCATTCTTTATTTTATACCCGAAACGGCATCATCTACTGCGCTTACTAAATCTGGCCAGCAGTTTAACTACTGATCAATTTATCTCAGTTAGTATAGATTTATTCTTATAGAACAGTCTTATATCACACTACGTATTAACACTTACATTTGATCCTCTAGATTTCCTCATCATACGCTTTAAGAATGAGATCATAAACCTCATTTGGGAATGCATTTGTATTCGTATCGACGCCGGTTAATCTATCAAATAGTATTGCCCGCAATCTTTTGACTAGTGATTTGACACAGTTGTACCTCGTCGAGAAATGATCCAGGACACATTTTTTGAAATTTTCTTGGGAGACCGCCTCTTTTTATTCAAATACATGTCTAAGACTGTCCCTGTGTACCACTTGGATAAAACATGAGTGTGGCCCGACTTTTTACTCCCCCAGCCATATCGGATGCACACTGAGACGAGAACGTAGAAGAAAGACTCTAGATCGTATCGATACGTATGCTTATACCCTTTGCAGGCCTTGTAAATATTGGCTTGTAATATTCCGAGGGCGATATATTCCATAGTACCAGTCATCGTCTGCCTATTTTCTTCACTATTCACATCAAAGACATTGCCAGGTCAAGATCTATCAATAATCCATATCGACCATTGTTATCGGCTGGATCGGTCAGTATGGTGTTATTGATAGACATGTCCCGATGCAATATTCTAGCGTCCATGAAAAGTGACCGATGGGCCATAATCGTGTCACGAATACCCTGCAACAGGTCAAGAGCCGTAGTTTCCTCGCCAATTGATCTACTAAGAGGTTCAGTAGCGATGTATATCTTTTGACGATCTCGATAGGCAATTGACAGCTCTGGCGTTCCGGGATCGTCTACATCTCCGTCATTCACAGCAGGAGTCGCTTCGGCTCCATCGCCTGTTGGGTCCCCAGGGGCAGAAGTTAGTAGGCCCACCTGGGTAGAAATCGGCGCTGTTCCATCTCCCGATACTGTCTCCCCAGCAGTATTCGAAATGCAAAGCCTCTTCAAGACACGCTCGGGTACGGCAGACTCGTTATCTTGCGCATGATCCGGGTTTCGACGTTTTTTAGATCCCGATTTGCTGGACTCAGAGTTACAGGCTCGGCCACTTTTTCGACTTGGGATAATGTATTTAATCGACTCTCCAGAGCTGATTCTCGTGGAGCGACGCACTATTTTCACAGTTACTGCATCTCCCGAGCCTGTCGGATTTTTTAATCCTTGGTCGCTAATCATAGCTACATTTTCCTACGCTAGTCTTGCGATATCTAACACGCGTATCCTCTTGCTTCTATGGTCGCCATCGTCGCCAATACTATCCTCGGTTCGGCCTTTGCACTTCTCAGACATGCTTTGCTCATTGCTTTTGGCCATAATCAATGGACCTGCTTCTATCGGCTCGACAGTCGTTGTCATGAGAGAATCGTCGGGATGAACGTCTCTCTTCATTTCACTCGTGATTGTCAAATCCTTGCGAAGTTCACTTATCTTCGAGTCATCCCGTGAGCAGATCAGCTGAGACACACCTCGCACGTCGCGTGCCTGTTTAAGAATACTAACTTCAGACAGCCTGTCCACTGCTCTCCATGAAACTTTGACTACATACGTCCCATCCAGAGCGCGGTAGCAAGTTGTGCCGCGAGAGACGATCGCCTTTTGTGTGATGAGCGGCTCAGCTTCCAGAATTAGAGTGCGAGTCTCTTGGGTATTAGCATCAGTGACAGTGATTATCGTCTGACCTTGTTGATGTCGCACCGATATATCGATCCCAAGCTCCTCGTCGCTCATCAACATATAAGCCGTTATGACGTATATGAGCACCTCGGGGTTTTCATCGATATCAATGAAGCCCGTGGGGTATGGGCCAGACCGATCAAATACCCACAGTTGCAATTTGGTGTCAAGCAAAAGGAATCCATGCACAAACTTATGCAATGGCTGCGCCGTAAACACCTCCCGCATGTACACGGCAAGTTGAAGAAACTTATCCATCCACACACTAGTGAAAAGCTTGGTGAAATCTCCCAAAATTTGTATATCCCGCCAGCTGTGAGGAGTACCGCGGCGAAGGCTGCGACTCTTGATGAAAAAGTCGACTTGTCAGAAATAAGGGCTGCCCTTGATTTGGGATCCATTGGTTGTCCGGAACTTTTGTCCGCACAGAGGAAGAATCTTTCTCTTCTTGGATTCGTGTGGCTGGTCGGGTGCATTGGGTGTCTTGGGTATATTGGGTTCATTTGCTGCTTTCTCAGTCGGAGGATCCCGATATGGCTCGATAAATTTTGTCTGGACTGTTTTGATCCACTGCCATATATTCGTTTCCATAAAATAATCTGGAAATTTGAACGATTCTTGGTCTTTCCTGTTAGCATAGCTCTCGGAAATCTTCTGGAATTTGCTCGCCCAAGGCGGTTTCTCAGAGAATTTTTCGTAAAACCCCGTGATATCTTCAAAGACAGTTCCCGTCAGTTCTCTTCTCAAAACATCTTTGAGAGTGTCCATATTTTCATCAGCACCTTTAAGTTGCGCCGTTGTATATATGTGTTTTGCGTCATACTGTAGAGGTGTGATAGGCTTAAGGTTGTCGACGAGATCAGTCAGATAACCCCATATTTCTACATCGACAGAATTATAGAGAATCGAGTTTACAAGAGGTAGTAAGTAAGAAATTTGGATTGCCTTTGAATTCATTCGCTTGTAGATGGAAAAGATACGGCCAGTCATGTTGTTTTCTTTGGTCGAGGGAACTGAAGAATCTTGTGCATAACTATGATATGTACTTAGAAGGTTGAGCAGAAAATCAGATATGGGTGTGAGATCAATGCCTTCATTAGGGCTTTCTCTTAAGACTTTGAAATTTTCAAAATCACAATATCTAAGAGTGATGTAATTTTTTGAAGAGGATATTCGATGAAATGTTGGACATCTTCATCTGACAACGTCATCTTGACGATTAGGATGCTTTTGGCGATCGTTGAAAGAGATTGATTGCGAAGTGAATAGGATATGGATGAAATGTGAAGGACGATGGATGATGGATGATGGATGATGAGTAGTGTAGCTGAGCGGAGTTATGGTGACTTTATACAAAATCATACCATCAAGATGAGAATTCACACTGATACCCGACAGTTCTATAGACGGCGGCTGTGCACCATTTAAAGCCTTTCAAATCTATAATATAAAAATGAAGATCATGAAAACGGATAATGTAGATCATCTTGCGAGCGCGGCACTGGGATTGCACGGCTGTGGGGGACTATTTTCAACACCTGTCAGTGGTGTCCCCTACGAGCCTCTAGCTCTCACTATAGAGTCTGCAGAGCCGAGATTGAATAACTAAGTCCTCACCCCGTCGAGGATTCCCAATCGCTTCCGCGGTCTGTAACGTCTTCATCTCTCAACACATTTCCCTATCACCTCTATCATGAAGCTAACTACAATTAGATCAGATGGTAGGGTCGAAGCCCTTCTCGCCACCAACCCTTGATCATGGAGGAAAAGCCATCCGATACGGAGATGGTGGATTGGATCAAGTAGGCCTCGACTTTTCCAAAGAAGGGAGATATAGATGAATATGCGCACCTCATGTGGTCCTGAAGTCAAGGCCTCGGCTGGCTGGGGTTGCAGGTATTTTGAGACTTTTTCCCGCGCACGCAGTTTCCATTGCTACCATTTTTTTATTTTTATTTTGGGTAGAAGGTTCCGTGGAAAAGGTGGCCGAATTCCACGGGTAAATGCTGAGCTGCACGGCTATTCATCATGGGCAATATATCAATGATCTTTCAGGGAACATAAGAGGATAGGAGCACTATATAAGGTGTGGCCTGGGTCAGAGAGGAGCCCAATGTGCTAGATAGTCATAGACTCAAGTAGTACAATAAAACACACACACATACAATTTTTTAAAATTCGAATTTTCGAATATCCCTATTTTCCCCCTCTCCCTTCCTCTCTCGATATCGTGATATCGTTCGCCCTTCATTCAAAATTTGTGAGCGACTGGTAGGCTACCAATATGCCCCCAGTTCGCAGTAAGCCATCGCGGGCGAAAGACATCGTAGATAACCGCATGCACCTCAAACACGTTGCTCGACAGAAAGCAAGCGTCAAGTTGGGTCCACTGACTTCCGTTCAAGAGATGAACATCGACCAATTAATCGACGAAAGTACCATAGATTGCGATATGATAGATGTTGGCAACTTTGACATTGACAAGATTCTTAAGAATCTGAAAAGACTACCCAACTCAATTCACTCCAAGCCAGATGCGACCAGAGCTGAAAATGCAGCGACGAGTTGCAGCAATTTAGGGACAGCGACTACCGGGCAGCATATACTTCCTCTCATTGAAGTCGCGGTGCCGGCTATGAGGCGGGCTGCGATTGCACATGCTATTAAGGCAAAAGGTGCAGCATCTACCCCGAACCCCCTGGAACATACACCAGGAACCACAGAAGAGAATCCTTCTCCTCACGATGATCATGAAGGTAGGCAGACGGAGGAATGCCCCCCCCCCCCCCCGAACTCAGAGCCTTAATTGAGGCTGAGGAACGCCGGGCCGCAAAAACTGCGGAAAATGTAAAAATTTGCACCGCTGCAATAAACGGTGTCGAGAATGCTCTCTCCCCCCTATCCAAAGGGTCGAGTGTTCAATTTATAGACTCTATGAAAGTCTACATTAGAGCTGCAATAGCTCAATTTATGATCGCAGGACCAGGTACAGTCCTCCCATCCCCTCCCCCACGCCCCGAAAGCCAGGCTACTAGTTGCAAGACCGCAGAATATGCTGCTGGTAAGCAAAGTGAGCCACATCGCGAAGCGGCTCAAGCCGAAGTGCGCCAGGCCAAAACCACTTAGGCCTCGATCACCCGTAATGGTCTACAAACGCTCCCGGCACCTACAAAAGTCGCGCAGACAATGCCCAAGGCGGCAAACTCGACTCGAATGGCCCAAAATTCAACCGGGCCAACAAAACCGGCCGTGCAAGATGAACGTTTGTTTCTCCGCCTCGAAAAAGAACATCCCTGGCGAACACTCTCACCTTTCGGTGTTAGAGAAGCAATTACGCAAATGCTCGAAATCCCCCAAACAAAAATTGAGCATGTCTACCGTGTGCCAACTGGCTTCGCAATCAGAGCCGAAAACCAAGAGGCACGCACGCTGATGCTTAGCCTAGCTGGATCCTTCGCCCAGCAGGATACGATATTGGAGAAAGCCTCGGACTTGGCTTCCCTTAGAATAGCGACGGTCCCAGTCGCAATTAACACAATGATGGGCAAAGTTCTCATCACAGAAAAGATGGTGGCCGACGAGATAGTCAGGGTCACCAAAGCTGTCCCGGTAAAAGTTCGCCCACACGGGAAAAGCCGACCGGGCGCCCCATACCAGTCATGGGTAGCCCTTTTTGAAAAAGCATCGATTCCTCGGTCAGGTTTCCGACTTTTCGACGACTCTGGGATTGCAGTCCGCCACCAGCCTCGTCAAAGCATCAACCAGTGCAAACGATGCCTACAGTTTCATGGCACCAGGGGCTGCTCGCGTGCCCCAGCCTGCTGGAATTGTACTTCAACTATGCATTCCATCGCGGAGTGCAAGGCACACATCAAGTGCCGCAACTGCGGAGGTCCACACAGATCAGATAGTCGGGACTGTCTAGCTCGCCCTACAAAGTCTGGGACGGCCTCCAAGGAAAACCTACAGACTATCAGGCAGGCTAGCCAACGCGAATTCGCGGCAGTTACTCGGGCCAAAGCAGCTGTCAGACGCGCAGAGGCAGCGATGACAGCAGCCACAGAAGCGTCAAATACTAACCAGCCAGGATTTAAATCGAGCAACTGTTTTGAAGTTCTCATGTCCGACGCTACAGCAACTGTAGCCGAGGTCGATGAGGCATCAAATCAGCAAAAATCTTTGTGAAGGGCACCCCACGGGTCTCTTCAAGCCTCTCTATTACTCTAAGCTTTATGTCAATAAACGTAGGTAGAGGGGGCTCAACGCAAAATATTGCGCTTGCCCGAGCATTTGAGCTGGGTATCGACGTGATTCTTTTTCAAGAACCTCTGTGGAATAAACAAAAGAACACAACAAAGGATCACCCAGGATATACCTATCATCTGCCTAACGGCGGCGAAAATGTTAGGCCGAGGGCTGTGACATATACCCGGATAGACGATAAAAAGATATCGGCGACACAGATCTTTCCTTATGTTGTGTCTACAGGAGACTATTGCTGGGTTGAAGTGAACAGTATCATTTTTCTCAACGTCTACAAGGCACCCAATGACTCGACAGCTATCCAGCCACTCATCAACTGGATTCCACCGCCAAACTCCGTCGCTGCTGGGGACTTTAACTCGGTATATTGGGCTTGGCAACCTGGCGTAGAAAGTCCTCACGGATAAGGAGAAATGATCGAGAAATGGGCAGACAAACACCATTTGACCTGTCATATTATTGGGGAGCCCACTCACCGAGCTAGAAACACGCTAGATCTAGTTTGGAGTAATGTCGACGGCGCCCGTGCTTGGGTAGATCGTGGTGGATGTGTCACAAGCGATCACTTTCCTATCCGAGGACAAATTCCAGTTCGCAACTCAGTGATGAGACCCGAAAAGGCAAAACTCCGAGTAACAAAGGATAAGCTACCCAGATACGCCAAGGTAATTGCACAGTGGGTCCGACCACCACCAGTTCTTGACACAATCGAGAGGGTTGAAGAGTATGCCGAGGAAATTTGTTTCCATCTCACTAATGCAATCAATGCAGTGGGAACACGACCAAAAGCCCGCTGTGGTAGATCTGCTCCGTGGTGGACCCCAGAGTGCAAGGCAGCATACGCCGAGTACCAAGTTGCAATAACTCCCAGCCAACAGGCACTCAGCGCGAATAAGCTCCGATCAGTTGTGAAGACCCCGAAAAAAGAGTTCAAAACCCAACAGGTCGAATCAATTACTACGCCAACTGATGTATTCAAGCTAATGAGAATGGATAACCCCAGACAGGCTAGTATCCCTCCGCCACTGAATCACAATGGAACGTTGATAACAGATCCATTAAAACGGGCCACGATCCTTCGCGACTCTCTCCTGGCACGATTTCAGGTATCAGACGACTTGTTGCCATGCACAGTCGCGAGCAGCAGTCGGATACCATGAGAAGAAGTCGTAACAGATGAAGAAGTCCGAGCCTGCACCATTGGTTGCGGAAATACGGCCCCAGGAGCAGACGGAGTCTCCGTAAACCTGCTGGAGGCGTGTTGGAATACAATCGGGCCTTGGGTTTCCCAACTGTTCCGAGCTTGCATTCTGCTTGGTACCCATCCACAGTGCTTCAAATTAGCTGAGGTGGTCCTCCTTCAAAAGAACGATAG